TAATACTCCATTGTGTAAATGTACCAAAGTTTCTTAATCCACTCATCACTTTTTAAAGAAATGAGACTTCAACATACGATGTCTGTTTTCTTTCTTTTTTCAAAAGAACAATTACTGAGACTTCTAGAGAGTTTCAGGCTAAAGAGTAGCTTATCTACCTTTATCCAATTCTCTTACGGGGGAATTGAAGCCTGTATTCTGAACTACTACTATCGGACATTTATTCGCTTCATTTAGTTGGTGAACATTTAGTGAGCATCTACTACTCCAGCCACTGTGCTAGGTACTATGGACACTAAGATGGAGGAGACACTGTGACTGCCCCTGAGGCTTCCAGCCCTGCAGAGAGAGCCTTTGATTGTGGAAAGGAAAAAAAAAAAAGTCCAAAAGGAGGAGAAGGGTGGGGAGTTGGGAGGAAACAGAAAGGATTAAACTACCTTAGGCTTCCTCTCACTGATAATGCAAGATCTACTGGTATCCTCCTGGGTCTTGAATTGGGGTTCTTAAATTCTTAGGAGGCTGAACAATGTAAGTGTGCCTTGCTTTTACCTAATAAAAATATTATATACAAGTTTAGCCATTAAGTTAAATAATTTTCAGTGCTCCATGGCGAACTTATTTAAATGAAATCTGGAGAGTAAATTCAACTCAACCAAGATTTATTTGTTGTGAGCAAAGCACTATGGTAGATTTTTAAAAGAATAATTACTATGTGTGAATATTACAATTTGTTAACAATTCCCCATATTATATGTAGTATGATACTTAAGGAAGTTTAAAAGTCTAAGTTAAATCAACTGCCACCCAGAAAAATCACTTTAACACTATATCCTCAATTTCTTTTTCAGCCCATGAACAAATAACGCAAAGAGCTCACATGTATTGAGCTTACTATTTGCCAGGAAGTCTGCCCGTTCGTTGCTTTATACACAGAATTTCCTGTAATCCTCACTTCTAGCCTTTTGAAGAATGTACTATGATTATCTCATTTTTATTGAGGAGAAAACTGATAGAGAAATTAAGTAACTTTCCTAAAGTTGCACATTCAGAAAGTTATTCTCTACAAAACTGGGTTCATTCTTTTTTCCACCCAAGTATGGAGATTTTCATATTACTAAAATACTCACACATCATCATTTATAGTTTTTTATTTGTTTTTTTCTTAAAAGAGTTTACCGGGGAATTGGGGAAGGGGAGCAGTGTTGGGGAATTAGGGAAGGGGTACAGCCAAGTTGTTGTCCTGCAATCTTAGTTGTGGAGGGCGCAGCTAGCTCAGCTCCAACTCCAGTCGCCATCCGGCCGCCCATTGGCAGCAGTTCGCAGCCGCTCAACTCAAGGTGCTGTGTTCAATCTTAGTTGCAGGTGGGCATAGCCCACAATCCCATGTGGGAGTTGAACCGGCAACCATGTTGTTAGGAGCACGTGCTCTCATCAGCTGAGCCATCCTGCCACCTGTTGGCAGCTCAGCTGCAGCTCAGCTCAGGCACAGCTCACTGGCTCATATGGGAATCGAACTGGCAACCCTGTTGCTCAGAGCTTGTGCTATTAACCAACTGAGCCACTTAGCCAACCCAATAGTTTTTTTATTATACAATATGTCTGCATCTCGACTTGTTCAAAAATAGGGGATTGGTTATTTAGTTTCCAGTTTTCATTATTTTAAGTAATTCTGCATTAAATATTTTTCTAGCTATATCTCTCTGTGCACACCCATGATTATTTTAGTAATTATGTGTTTTAAAAAGTGAATTATAATGTTTAATTTAGCTTCCTTTTTTTTTTTTTACCATATTCAGAGTTAGAAAACTTTCCCCT